AAAAAAAACTACAGCAGTTAGTAAATTTTGAAGAAACAAAAGTTGAAATGTGTATAAATTCTTGTCAAGCCTTTACTGAAGAATTTATTGAAGATACAAGCTATAAAATTTGTGGTGAATCACGATATGATATTAAAAAAAATCCAAGAAAATTTGCTATTTACTTTCCATTAATCCCACGGTTACGAATTTAATATGCAGATCCAACTCATGCAATTCAATTAAGATATCATGCCAATTATAAACAAGATAATGAAACCATTAGAGATATTTATGATAGCAAATTATATAAAGAAATATTGGAAGAAGGGCTATTACCTGATGATCGTGATATAGTATTTTCTACATCATTAGATGGATATCAAATATTTGAACAACAACGTGATGATTGTTGAGTAATTTTAATGATTAATAATAATTTGTCACCAGAAATTCGTGTAAAAAAAGAAAATCTTTTAGTAGTAGCAATTATACCAGGTCCAAAACAACCAAAAAATTTTAATACCTTTATGCACCCTCTAATTAATGAACTAAAGCAGTTAGAAGATAAAATAAAATTATTATTATAGATTTATTAATTTTATATTACTACCTAATATAATTTTTAAATTTAGAGGGTATTTTATGTTGGGATGCAGTAACAAATGAAAATTTTACCTTACGTGTTCATATTATTTTTTGGTGTGGTGATATTCCGGCTATTTCAAAATTAATGTATATAACAGGACACAATTCATATATGAGTTGTAGATTTTGTGATATATGAGGCATTATAAGTGGAGAACCAAATAAAAATCATGTTTACTATCCACTTATACCACCTTTAGATCGCAAATTGCCAATTTATAATTTAGATAATTTACCACTAAGAACACATGAATCTTATCTTAAAAAAATTAAAGAATATGAAAATCAAGTATCTGAAACAGGGCGAAAACGATGTGCTTCAGAAACATGTAAATTTATTTAAGCTTATTTTAATAATTATAAATTTAAAACAAGGTTAATAACAAACAACTATTTAAAATTATAAGAGTAAATGGTCGAAGTATTCTCTTTGAACTTAAAGCAACAAAGTTTCCTAGATCTTTTCCATTAGATATAATGCATTTTCTTTTCGAAGGAGTATCTTCTTGAATGTATAAACATTGGAATGAAACTTTTTTTTCAAACTCAGAACTAAATAATGCTAAAACTGAACATCATATTATGCCAAAACGGATTTGAGAAAAAATTGGAGAAATTATGGATAAAAATAAAAATAACAAAACAATGCCTTCTGAATTTGGTCATTTGCCAACTAATATTTATCGATATTCAAATAGTTTTAAAGCTGAAGAGTGGACTAATTGGACATGTTTATATTCATTACCTCTTTTAGCAAATTATT